GGCTGCCGGGTCGACCCCGGCCGTACCCCCGCCCCGGCCGCCGGCTAGGTCGTTCCCCCTTTGTCCCCGCCATCCGGCGGAGGGGGCGGGAGGGGTGGTTTCCCAGCTTCCTCCCACCACCACCGCCACCGCCACCACCACCCCTCCAAGACAAAAGTCAGCTCCTCCTCTCCGCGCAAATGGGCTTTCCAGCTGTGATTCAGCTCTCCCCTCGGGTGGGCGGGTGGTGGGGGTCAGGACCGCTGAGCGACGCTCATCCCCCTTCCCCACCCCGGGCCCCAGGCCATCACCCCAGGTGAAGGGAGCAGAAGTCTTTGTGTAGCTGGGATTCTCTCCTCCCCACGGAGCACCCCTGATCCTGGAACGCGGGGTGGTCCCCATCCCTCTCTGCTCCACCAGCCTTCCAAGCTCCTTGTTCTCCCAATCACGAAAGCCTTAGGCGGACCGACCTGGGCACTGCCTTCCTGCCCCTCTCTGCCGTCCTCGGCGCCTATTCTCTTATTTCCTGGTGCTGGAGGCCCTTTACCTGTCATCTCGAGTCTGGGTGTATAATTTCACACACGCGCGCGCGCGCGCACACACACACACACACCATGACCTCTTGGCCACTGCTTTTAAAGTATCCTTTATTCCTGTCTTTGTATCCAGATCCATTCCCAAATGCTATGACCCGTCTACACCCCAGGCCCCAGAAAACGATCAAACTGACTTTAGCTGAGCAGCTGGGAACTGGGAGGAAGGTGGTGTATGCAGACAGCACCTTCCAGCTCCGTGGGGCTTCCACACTGCGCTGGTTCTCAGAAAGGCCAGAACCCAGCCCAGAGCTGCTTTGATCTTCATCTCTGGCTTTCCTCCCATGTCTGCTGGGTGGCCAGCTTAGCTGATTACCATCTTCAGGCAAGGGAAGGGTACTCCCCTGGAGCCCTCCAGGAGATGGAGTCCCCTCACTCCACCTCCCTGCTGATTCTTAGCCAGGCTACCTGTCTTGGTGCTAACTGGGAGAAGGTCTAACCTAGGGCAGAGGTGGGGATGGAGAGGGGCAGAGAAGGAGGCTTTAGGACTTTCTCAGGGGATTGGTATTAGACTCTGCTAACCGGAAAGCAGCCGGGGATTTGAGTAACCCCTAAGACAAACAGAGGGCCAGGGTGCGGTGGCTGAAGTGTGGTGGAACAGTGGGGTGGCAGACAGGCTCTTCACAACCCTGCGCCAAGCCAGGCCCCAGCTCCAAAAGTCTGTTTATTTTTTCAACCGTTTGAGCTGAGAGAGACCCTGGAGTAGAGCCAAGGGGGGGGCGGGAGAGGCTTTTTGAAACCACGGAAATACGGTTCCACCCTAAAAAGGAAAGCCACGGGGGAGGGGCAGACCTGGCGAGGGGCACAGGGAGAGATTCCAGAGGTTAGATACTGGGGTCCTTTCTCCATTAATGAGGGGGCCAGGGGCCATATACCTGGACCTGTGCTCTCTTTTTTTGTAGCTGTTTGTTTGTTTATTGTCACCTCCCCCAGTAGGGAACTGGGCATCCGGAAACCCAGTTCTTCTTTCTGCCCTGGAGCTGGCTGAGGAGGGGGTATTTGGGAATCTGGCTGGGGGAAGGGGAGTGCGGGGGCTGAGTGGGTGGATCTGAGAGGGCACTGAGGCCACAAGAGGAGGGTGTCAGTTTGGGCTGGTCGGAAGGGGAGGGCCACCACTGCCACCTCCGGAAAGCTGTGGTTACAGAAGGGGGGAGTTGGTTCTTAGCCAACAAACCCTGGGTCCCCTCTCCCCCTCCCCCAAGCACGCCAGCTGTCTCCTTTCTTTTTATACTGTGGTGGGAAGGGGGGCACTGGAAAGGAGATTATTTGAAGAAGATGGTCTCTTCCCTGCTACCTATGTGGGGAGATGGGTCCGGCACCCCACCTGCTCCCCGTCCCTGCCCTACTCCCCGGAGCTCCTCCTAGGAGGAGGAACTGGAGTACAACCTGCCTCTTTCTCTTCCCACCCCTTAGGATCTTTCTGTGAGCCCCCGCCCCCCCAGGCTCCTTTTTCTTTTCACTCCGTTTCTATTCTTCCAGGCTTGTCTTCAGATCTCCACCCCCTTAATTCTCTCTGCTCTACTTCCTACCTCCTCAAACCCCAAAGCCCACAGATCCCCTCTCTCTCCCTTTCGTCCCTTGCTCTTCCCTCCCTCCTTTCCCCAGCCCTAACCTTCAGGTCCCTCGGAACAAAAGATCCTTTTCTGCCAACCAGGGCCAGAGGTGTAGGGATGGCTCTGGAGGCTGGCGGTCCCCTTGGGATCTGTGGGACCCCAGCATTGGAGTGTATGGTGGGCAGGTGGAATGGGGAGTGAGGAGGAGAGATCTTTCTTTGTTCTGGGTACTAGAGAGGTGGCTGGCTTTGTGTGCAGGACCAACGGTGTAGCTAGAGAGGAGGGCTGGGGGCGCCCAGGAGGGAGTCCGGAGGGCTGATGGCTTTGGAGGAAAGTTGAAAAATTGGGGTCCTCCTGGAGGCAGAGGCTTTTGGGGACATAGAAGGACTCTGAGGGTCATGGAGGTTAGGGAAAGGACCTAGGGGGAGGGGAGAAACAAGAATGGGGGAAGGGAACTGAAAGCCTAAGTCACCAAGGGGGGACGGGGGGGGGGGGGGGGGGGGGAGGTTCAGGGTACCTAGGGGTGCCTAAGGTAGGACCTGCTGGGGGTGACCAAGGAGTTCAAGAAGCATCTGTCTGTCCGATGTCAATCCCCTGGCTCTGGAGCTGTGACCTTGGAATCCAGGAAGGGACGGATTGGAATGTGAATCCCATGTGTGCATGTTACCTGAGTGTTGGGGTATGTTCCTCTGTGTGTCTGTCCCGCTGTGCTCTAAGTTACTGTTTGCAGTATGGACACCAGAGTAGGGGATCATGCCCTCTGGACATGAGGAAGTGGTTCCATTCTTAGCTTTGGCCTCTGGTTCGAAGAATCTTGGAGGAGCCCAATGAGTGGACTGGTCAGGGTTTCTGGAGCTGGTAGGGGAAATGGCTGAGAAACGCTGGCTGGCTGGGCCGGCTGGGTTTGTTTGTGTCCCCTTGGGGGAGGGGGGAAGGCTGCAGGCAGCAGCTGCCCCCTCCCGACTCAGCCGGCCTGCCCTGTGCCAGGAGGGCAGGGAGTCCTGGCACGGCTATTGTTCACTTGCACAAATGCCCGTCTGTTTGCATCGTTCCCCCCACCCCCGCTTGTCTCTCTCCTGGCCTGACAGGTGTGGCGGGGTAGGGGGCAGGCTGGGGTCCAGGGTGACTGGGTCTCAGAGTCTTTAGCCTCATTTTATTCCCTGTGGCCCTAAGTGCCCTTCACCAATGTGCTGGCCCCCATTACCGGTCTCATCTTCGTTCATTAAGCAAGCATTTATTAAGTGCCTTTGTGTGTGTTCACTGCTATTTTCCTTGTTGTTTCTGCCCTTGGAACTAGTGTTTTCTATTTGGCCGCCTTCTCCTGGCCTCCAGTCTTCATCTTGTCCCTGGAAGCTCCTAAAGGGGCCTGGCCTAGCTGAGAGCATCCCAGGTTCTTTTCTCAGTCATGGGCAGGAAGCTTCTGGTTTGTCCCCCCTGACTTAGTGACTCTGCATCTTTGCTGTCTGGGGGCTGAGCTACAGGTGACTCAAACCCCCCAGTGCACCCCTCTAGACTCTCTAGGCTCTGGTCTGGGCAGAGGCCTCACCATCTTGGGAAAGGGGCTGCTGCTAACTGCACCTGGAACCAAAGTGGTTGTGGAGCAGGGGACGACTTGGAGGCCCGTGTAAGAAATGAGTGGGGTCCCCAGAGCAGGGTGCTGCTGAGACCCCCATGTCTTGATGTCCTTCTCTTGATGTGCTTGATCTTGTTGTCCTTCTCTTCCCTGCCATTCTCACTGAGTTCCTTAGACCTTCGCTAAGTTGCTGAGGCTGGTGGCTTTGAACTTGCGGTCCTCCTGCCTTGGCCTCCCCGAGCCTCTGGGATCACAGTGTGCCACCTGCCTGGCAGTCTTTTTGCTAGGTGTGCTCACACTGTTCCTTCACTTGATCTTTGATGTAGCAGTGGCAGAGAGGAAGGTTAGTAGGCTGGAAAGAGGGTTCCTGAGGTTTGTGAGAAAGAGGCAGAATGACCCTTGGCTGCCAGACAGCAGGAGGCTGGAGCGCAGGAGGGCTTCAGGCCCTTGAGGGTGTTGTGAATTGTAGATGGGCATTTTCTCAGTGGATAGGTTGGAACATGCAGCAGGTGAAGGTCTGTCCTGCTTGGAAGTAGGTAAATGGGAACCAGTGTGATTTTCTTATTTCAATTTTTTTAGTTATAGATGGACATAATACCTTCATTTTATTTATTTATTTTATGTGGTGCTTAGGATCAAACTTAGTGCCTCACATGAGCAAGGCAAGCGCTCTACCACCGATCCACAACCCCAGCCCAGTGTGATTTTCTTTTTTTGGGGTATGTGTGGGGTACCAGGGATTGACCTCAGGGGCACTCAGCCCCTGAACCACATCTCCAGCCCTATTTTTTTTTTTTATATTTTATTTAGAGACAGAGTCTCACTGAGCTGCTTAGCACCTCGCTTTTTACTGAGGCTGGCTGTGAAATTGCAATCCTCTTGTCTCAGCCTCCTGAGCCTCTGGGATTACAGGCATGTGCCACTGTGTTTGGCTTCCAATGTGATTTTATTTTATTTTTTAAAAATTTTATTTATTTATGGGGCTGGGGTTGTTGCTCAGTGGTAGAGTGTGCACCTTGCACGTGTGAGGTACTCGGTTCGATCCTCAGCACCACATAAAAATAAATAAAGGTATTGTGTCCACCTACAACTAAAAAAACATTTAAAAAATTTATTTATTATAATTTGTTATACATGACAGCAGATTGCATTTCAATTCATAGTACACATATAGAGCACACTTTTTCATTTTTCTGGTTGTACATAAAGTAGAGTCACACCACTTGGGTCTTCATACATGTACTTAGGGTAATGATGTCCATTTCATTCCACCATCTTTCCTACCCCTATGCCCCCTCCCTTGAAAATATAGAATGCTTCATGAATTTACATGTCATCCTTCCACGGGGCCATGCTAATCTTCTCTGTATGGTTCCAATTTTAGTAGTGAGCACCCAATGTGATTTTGTTAAAAAACAAACCTGGACGAGCCAGGTATGGTAGCGCATGCCTATAATTCCTGCAACTCCTGAGGCTGAGGCAGGAGCACAAGTTCAAGGCTACCCTCAGCAACGTAGGGCGTAAGCAACTTTGTGAGACCCTATCTTAAAATTAAAAAGGGCTGGGGACATAACTCATGGGCAAAGCGCCCCTGGGTTCTAAAAAATAAAAAAAAAGGGCCGGGGATATGGCTCAGTGGGGTCACATCCCCTTTAGGAAACCAAACGACCAACCTGGAAGAGAATAGGACAGAAATCCAAACCAGCCCACTCATCCCACCTTTGGAGCCGATTCCCTTGGAGAGCAGGCTCCATGTCCTTCCATCCTCAGCAGCCGGAGCCCTGGGGCGGGCACAGGCCACCTCTGGGACAATAGTGCTAGGCAGTGCCAGGGCCGCTTGCTGCTGGGATGTGCTGCTGCTGGGGCTGCTGCCCGCTGCTGGCCCACCTAGAGAGGGGGTCACTCGGAGAGAGGGTGAGTGTTCAGGGGTGGAGCAGGCAGGGCCCAGGGTACCCTGGCTGTCACTGGGGCATCTGTGCCAGAGAGGGGAAGGGCCACTAGAGATGGCTTTCTGCTTGCCCTAGTCCTCTCCCTTTGCTGTGCTCATCAGAGCTGGCCAAGCAGGTGAGTGCCACGCACTTGAAGAGAGAGGGGAGGGGGAGGGCTGTGCGGAAATTGGGAAAGGGGAACTCTAGCAGCACCAGGACAGATCTGAAACACTGCCCCTTTTGGAGTTACCCCGGCCAGTGACGCTGCTCTTTTGAATGCTGTCTTTACGTTTGCTTGCTTGCTTTGACTTCAAATGTCATAAGTGCCACTGCTTTGGAAGGGCAGGAGATGAGGAAGGTAGGGACAGTGCACGGCAGTGAGAAGGGCGATCTGGATCTGGACTTGGTCTCTGAGGGTCCCACAAGGTTATTATTCAGAGGCAGCTGTGATCTTCTGAAAACACTGGATCAACCAAAGAGCTACACCTTGGAGCAAGACCGCAGATTAGATCTGCGGGAGACTGTTCTGGTGATTGAGGCAGGCAGGTGCCAGTGTAGAAAACGGGAGGCCACAGTGCTGGAGGACTAGGGGAGGAGGAGTGGCCTGCACCGAGGAGGAGGAGGCGGCGGAAGGGAAGAGGAGGGGAGGGACACCGAGGCCCTCACTGGTCACATGGGGGCGGAGCTGAAGGAAGCCACCTAGGGAAGGAAGACAGGTGAAGGCCCAGAGGAGGGAGAACCTGAACTGAGAGCTGAGGACCAGGAGATAGGAAGAGAAGGAAGGCCAGGCCAGCGGGCGCAGGTGGCTTGTGCCTATAACCCCAGTGGCCAGCGAGGCCCTGGCAACTCAGCGGGACCCTGTCTCTAAATAAAACACAAAAAAAGGGCTGGGGATGTGTCTCCGAGGTCAAGCACCCCTGGGTTCAATTGGGTACCAAAAAAATGGATAAGCCAGGAGGAAAGAAACAAAAGTGTGGGGGTGGGGAGGTGCATGGGGCGGGGACAAGGACTGGCCTCTGGGCCTCTGGGCCCTGCTCATTGTCAGGTAACCCGGGCTGAGAAGAGGCTGGGAGGAGGATCTGGAGCCACCAGAGTGCCCTGGGCTCCAGGTCACCACAGCCCAGTGCCCTCTGGCCCTATTTGTTGACTCAGCCCCTGTACTTCCCTTTTCTACCCCCTCTGCCCTGAGCATTGGTCTGCATCTCTCCCCTCCCCCACCTCCTGCCAGTGGGACTGGAACCAGTCAGGGCCAGCCTCCTCAGGCCCAGGTTGAAGGCTCCCCACCAAGGTCCCCAACTTTGGTGCTCATATCCTGGATCATCTGAATCCTGCTTTTTTTTTTTTTTTTTTCTTTTTCCTTCGTACTGGGGATTGAACCCAGGGGTGCTTAACCACTGAACTACCTCTACAGCCCCTTTTATTATTCTGAGACCTTGTCTCTCAGTTGCTGAGGCTGGTCTTGAACTTGTGATCCTGCTGCCTGAGCTACCCAGTTCCTGGAGTTACAGGCATGTGCCATCGAGGCTGGCTCTGGTGTTTGATTTCTGAAAGGCAAAGGGAACTTGAAGGGAGTGGTTAGCTTCCCTTCCTGCTTTGTCCTCCGCTCTGGAGGACAGAGATCTAGAGACCTGAGGTGATAACTGAAGAAGGTTCTGGGATCAGTGAGTGGTCTCCCAGTCTTCTCACCTTCATAGGTGTTTTTTTTCCTTTTTAAAATATTTATTTATGTAAATAAATATTAAGATATTTATTTTTTTAGTTTTAGGTGGACATATTATTTTGTTTTTACGTGGTGCTGAGGATCGAACCCAGTGCCTCACGCATGCTAGGGGAGCCACTACCATCGAGCCCCAGCCCCAGCCCCAGCCCCAGCCCCAGCCCCAGCCCCACCCCCACCTTCATAGGCTTTTGAGGAAGGACAGAAAAGAAGTCAGAGAGAATGACTTGACTCACAGGCCAGTGGGCAGCTGGAGAAGGAAGGCCGAGATGGGAAAGGCCCGCCTGAGGTTGGAGGGGCCATGTGGGGTGTGCCCCATCTCTGCAGAGAGTAGGGCTGGAAGGAGGGAGGTAGATGTCAGGAAGGACTTATAGAATGAGGGAGACCATTTGGTTTAGGAGCAATTGAGAGCTCTTACAGGTCTTGTCTCTGGAGTGTAATTTGAGAAGGGTAAAAGTTAGCTGCAGGGGGGATTTTCTGCTGGGACCACCAAGCTGGCTGGCTGTTTCTGTCCTTAAAGGTCCCAGAGAGGAGGAGTGACCTGAGACCAAACCCAGGTTCCCCCTGCCTAGAGATTAGTGGGGGACATGCTGCCTCCCAGAGGAGGCAGCATGTGACCTTGACTAAGTGGGTAAGAAGAGTTAAAGGTTTGGTATCCTGACCCCTGAGTTGGGGGTGGCCCTGGAGGCATTCTGTCCTTTCAGCCAATCTAATATGGGGATCTCCTGCCCTCCCATCCCTGACACCCCACTCCCGTGACTGCCACAGAGACAGCCGCTCCAACACCGGTTGTCATGGTTATGAGAGGAGCTCACTCCCATAGATTGGAAAGCGCTGGTGAGCTGGCACCCTCTGCTTCGCCCGCTCTCCCTCCGCTCTGCGCATCTCCCCCAGCACAGGGAAGGGAGTACAGCAGCCCGGGGGCGAGCAGAGCTGGGGCTGGGAGGTGGAGTGAGGACGCGGCGCTCCAGAGCAGGGAGATGAGTGGCAACAGGAGGCAACCCAGCCGCAGGGGCCAGGTGGGTCAGGGACCCCGAAACCCTCTCGGGACTGGCCACTCGGGGCCTGGTTACTCCTGGTCAGCCACCCTGAGCCCCGGGGCAGTCCTGCTGTGGAGTTGGTGTCTTTGCAGCCTGCCCAGGCTGGCTTCTCTCCCTCACTGCCCTCAGCCTGTCTCTGACTCCAGGCCCCTGGCCTTGTCCAACTTCACTTCCTGTGTCTCCTGCTCCTTCCACAGGCCCGGGAAAAGGAGAAGATGAAGGAAGCCAAGGATGCCCGCTATACCAACGGGCACCTCTTCACCACCATCACGGTTTCGGGCATGACCATGTGCTATGCCTGTAACAAGAGTATCACCGCCAAGGAAGCCCTCGTCTGCCCAAGTAAGTTATTTGGCCCCTGTCACTCAGACCCGGTGCCCACCGACCCTGTCTTCCCATCTGTCCTGTCTGCCCTGGATCCATACAGGGGGGACTTTCCCTTTCTGAACCCCCAGCTGGGCCCAAGTGCCGGGGCCAGATGCTTGCTCCCTTTCTCACCCTGAGGGTAGTGGCTGTTGGAATGTGGCATGAGCGGGTCTATTGAGGAATGTGGATGAGGGGAGGCTGGGAGGACTCTGCTTGCAGCTGTCACCACTGGGTATCCCTCTCGCTCCTGAACAGCTGTTGAGGGTTAGGGGAAGTGATTGGAGAAGAAGCAAGAATGTGTCTGCAGAGGGGGGTGAGAGAGGATCTGGCCAGAAAGCTACCAACCTTGCAGCTGGTTCCGCCCATCTTCCTGGGCAGAACTGGACATTCAGGGTCCCTTTGCCCTTCCTATCTATTGACTGTGGGTGGAGTCTGTGAAATCCCTGTTTCAAGGAGAGGGTGGGATGAGGTCCCCCCATCTGATCATCCAGATCAGTTTCCAATCTGAGAGACAGCGTAGGAAGCCAGCAGGGACGTGTGGAGGAGGGCAAGGGGCCAGGGCACCCAGTGCTCACCCGGGTCTGAGGGCAAACCTGATTTGGAGCATGGACAAGGAGTTCCTTCCTTCCCTGCGACTCCTATGTGGAGGGTTTCCACTTTACCCCTCCCCCCGGTTCTCCCCAGATTTATGGCCGAGATGCCTCCGACTGGTACTGGCCAGCGTAGCGGAAGCACTGCCCCTCCAAATCCCCGTGGAACTGGGGGGAGAAGCCCCCAGAAAGAACCAGTGAGGTCTCCCCTCTACTTCCTCACTTGCTTGATTTAGAGTTAGGAGGGCGAGGAGGGAACCCCAATCTAGATCCCTCTAGAGACCTGACAAAATATCCAATCCGGAAGCTTGTTGCCAGGGGAACTGGGGAGGCGGGCAGCCCTATTTTGAGAGCAGGTGGAAAGCGGAGGTTCGATCCAGAGACACTAGGTGTTGGGGGTAGGAAAAGGGAGCTCCAGTGGGGGTTAGCACCGCGCAGCCCCACTGTCTGCCCCTGGGCCCCACCCTGTTGGCCTTGTATTTGTGGAAGTGAGCGTGGTGCTGGGTATTGTCTGAAGGAGTTAGCAGAGTTTCCGGTGGTGTTGGTGGGGGAGGGGAAGCTGGGGAGGCCGAGGATGAGGGCATTTGGGGCAGGGGATGGCAGTGGTCCTACACTGGAGCTTGGCCACGCCTCCTCCCTTCTTTTCTCTCCTACCCCGTGGCAAGGTGGGGTGGGGGGTGAGGAGCAGCAGATGGAGTGTGGGAGCTGTGGGTTTGCCTTACATGGGGAATAGGACTCCCCAGGCCTGGCAGGGAGAAGGCAG